AAATTGTTCCTCAGGGGCAACTGAAACCTCCCCTGGGGCAACTTGAGGCCCTTTCCTCTTGTCCTGTCCCTTGTTCCTTGGGAGCAGAGCCCGACCCCCCCCTGGCTCCAGGCTCCTGGCCGTGCTGGGGAATGGTTGGACTTGATGAGCTTAAAGATCTCTTCCATCTGAAATGATTCTGTGATCCCACGACTGGGTGGAAGAGCAGTGCTGTAACATCTCAGGGGTCCACGTGCAGCCTGTTGTGACCCCCTCAGAGTGATTTTTGTAGCACTTCAGCTTTCCCTTTGGCCAGCTCACCACAGCTTGCCCCGAGCCACCACGTTTGGTCAAGAGAGCCCAGTTGGTGCTCCAGAGAACTTCAAACCATGCTCCAAGCCTGAAGCTTTCTTCTGGTTCTTAGGGCTGTCTCCTGTCTCCTTCAGGACTCCCCTGATGCTGGCCTGCACCAGGCAGAACCTGGAGGTGATCCAAACCCTCGTGGAGCACGGAGCCAACCCTCTGCTGAAGAACAAGGATGGCTGGAACTGCTTCCACATTGCCAGCAGGGAGGGTCACCCCCACATCCTCCAGTACCTGCTGGACGTGTCCCCAGGCTGCTGGGACACAGAGAGCACGATCCAGAGGACACCTCTGCACACAGCAGGTACAGGAGGGACCCGTTGCCACCAGATGGGTTGGAGGAGAACAGGCTGTGGTGGACCCAGGGGACAGAAAGGGGCTGTTGGTGTTTTGTTTGGGGAAGAAAAGTGTGACCTGTCTTGATACAAAACCATTGGGAAGGGGTTAAATATGAAATTATTGAAATAATGAGATGAGGTGAGGCTGGTGGTGAGCAGTAGTGGGAGCTCCCCTCTGAATTTCAGTTTGCTCATGGTGCTGTGGTGCCTCTTTCCAGGACACACACTCATTTTAGTTGCTTTCAGATAGATAAAGAGCAAGAATTAGGCTCCATATTCCTTCCTGATGTGCCAAAGATGGAGCTGGGGAGGTTGGAGTCTTTTACTGGTTTGGTTTGTAGTCTTGTCATGGGGTTTTTAAGAGCTGTGTCTCTCAAAACAATCTGTTTTGCTCTGAATGCTTGGTGGGTTAAGGCCATTGTGGCAAATCTGAAGAGCTGTAGGGTCTCTAGGTGGAAATTCCAGAAGAATTAGCCTAGGTTTGGTTCTCTCACATTGCTCTTGAGAAGCTGCTGTCTAGTGGTGAGAAATCCAGAGGCATTTTCTGCACAGAAGAGAGTGGCCAGCAGCAGGTTGAGGGGTTCTCCTCCTCCTCCACTCTGCTCTAGTGAGGCCACCTCAGGAGTATTTGGTCCAGTTCTGGGCTCCCCCATTGAAAAGAGGCAGGGAACTACTGGAGAGAGTCCAGTGGGGGCTGTGAAGCTGCTGAGGGGCTGGAGCATCTCTGTGCCAGGCCAGGCTGAGAGCCCTGGGGCTGCTGAGCTGGAGAAGAGAAGCCTCAGAGGGGATCTGAGCAGTGCTGAGCAAGAGCTAAAGGGCCCCGGGGGGCAAGAGGCTGGGGCCAGACTC